AATAGCTCTTTCTACATTCTTTAGGGAATGTACACCCGTCTTATCCATTTTGAAATGAGATGGAGAACTCTTTTGTTTGTCTGATAATGGTATGGTCTAGTTGATATCAAATTGTAAAATTTTTATTCTTTCTTGCAGGACATGAATATGTTGGGTCAATTTTTCCTTTTCTTTTTCAAGTCTGTCAATATTTTGGTTTTGTCTTCTAAAACCTTCTGTCATTGACGAACAATGATCACAAAATATGATTTTATCTGTGTCTTTCTTGATGTTGTATTGTATGAATGAGTTTGTGGTTTGTCTTAACGCTGAGCTTATGAAATAATTTGGTCCCAAAGTTCCTCTTGCATAGTCTAGGGCTTCGTTTAAATCATCGAACCCTTTGAAGAGGGGAGTGGGAAGTCTTTTATGGAACTTATTACCTCAGTCCATGTCTGGAAAATGCCTGCTAGTCTTCCTTGAACTACAACATAGAACTTAAACTTCTTATTCTCATTTTTCTCAGTAAAATAATGGTTTGATGAATTTAATACTGAAATGAAATAGTTGTTGTCTCTTGGTATCTTGTTGTAGGCTATCCACAGATTATCTATCAAGCATCGTTGAGGTCTATCTATCTTTGTCTCTAGTTTTACTTGAAAACTTAAGTTAGATGGTTGATAAATACCAGGTTTTGTTTTTCAAAATAAAGTCTTTCTATGTTTGGGGAGTTTAGTCTGGCTTCTTCAAGTTTTGTTTGTGGTTTGAACAAAGTATTTCTTAACATAGTCTGTAGATATAAGTCTTTGTCTTTCTGTGTTGTAGCGCTGCTTGAGCTGGAGGCTCTTGCTTTGTCTTTTCCTGTATTCATGCTGAAACAGAATAGTTAGTTTTTATTTGCCTGCTAACTTGATTTGCTAAAGAATTATCCTTTCCTTTTATATGTTCTAAAGTAATATTATATATTGAAGTAGCGTCTAAATAATTTAGCCATTATCTTTTACTACTACTTTTCTCATTTATTTTTTGGTGAAACTTTACAATAGCTTCACAATCAGTTTTAACTAGGATTTCCTTTTTATTTATAATATATAGTTTGAAACTGTTTAGACCCTAAATTACAGCTAGTATTTCTGCGTCTATACTGCTCATATTTCCTTTTTCTTTGTATTTCCCGCTTTGATAAGCGCAAATTTTTTCATCCTTTTTATCTTCATACTTATTTTTCTTTGTTTTTAATACTGCTCCCCATCCTTCTAAACTTTCATCTGTTTCTACTATTGGATAGTCTGTTTCTAATGGGAGAGATAGGTTTGGTATATTTTTAACCATTTGCTTTAATTTTTGAACTAATTTTATGTCTTCAGTATTGAAAGTCTTTTGTCCATGTGCTCCTGTTTTTGAGTATAGAGGTCCTGCTACTTTTCCTAGGTCTTTTATGAAGTTTCTTGCATAATTTAAGATTCCTAGAAATTTTTGTAATCTTTAGTGTTGTCTAATTTATCTGGCATTTCTAAGACCTTTTTGGCTATATGAGGTTGTAATTCTATTTTTCCATTTCCAATTTCTACTCCTAAGAACCTTATGAGACTTTTGCATAACTCCATCTTTTTCTTGCTAATAATTATTCCATTGTCTACGAATAGTTTAAATACCGTTTGTAAATGTCCTAAGTGTTCTTTAATAGTATGACTAAATACTAAAATATCGTCAACATATACTAAAATGAAATTCTTATATTCCCTAAAAACATTATCCATTTTTCTCTGGAAAATTGGAGGGGCTATCTTTAGTCCAAATGGCAATACTAACCATCTGAAGTGTCCTTCTGGACAAGTAAAAGCGGTCCATTCTATGTTGTCTTCGTGCATTTTAACTTGCCAATATCCAGATTTACAATCAAACTTGCTAAATATTTTTCTTCCTTGTATTCAATTTATTAGTTATGTTTTATCTGGTAGCTTATATCCATCCATTCTGGTATTATCATGAAGTCTCTTATAATTTATTACCATTCTAGCCTTTCCTCTTACTATTTCGCTATGGTTTCTTACCATAAATGTTGTTGTTCTTGAAGTTGATCTTCTTATTACTCCTAATTTTAGTAATTCTTTTATCTGGTCTTCGAATTCTTTCAGGTCTTCATTTGTTGATTCTATTGAGACAGTTTTAACAGTGTACTCGGGGTTAATGATGTCAAGTCTGCAAGTTATATGATTGGCTTCCCAGTGTTTTAGGGGTCGCTCTCCAATTATTTCTAACCTGTCTAAAATAGAAATTACTTCATCTAAATCTTTTTGATTTTTTATTACCCCTATATGTTGTAAACCTCTTTTGAAATTGTAAAGTTCTGTATTTATTTCTATTAAATTATGACTTTTTTCTATATGTGTATCTGAAAGGCTCATCTCTAATAATTCGATTTCTTCAATTTTTTTCTTTTTCATCTATAAAATGTATCTTAGTACAAGTGCATTCTTCTCCTTTATTGCACTTTGAAGTATCTGTGTTGGGCTTATTTTTAAGATATCTAGATCTTGTTGGAATGGATTTCGTTGTTATTGCGGTCTGAGTAGTATTTTTAGAGAAGATTACTCCATCTCTAGTAAGGAGACAACTTCCATTGTTATGTAGCAAGAAGTCTAATCCTAAGACAAAGTCTACTCTAATATTTAAATCTCTAACCTAAGACAAAGTCTACTCTAATATTTAAATCTCTAACCCATATTTTTTCCAACTTGTACGTGGGTTTATAAAAGTCTGCACAAGTGTTTAAAAAACTTATTTGTACATTGCTAACATAATGCTTATATACATTTGAAGATCCATCCATTTGCATGGCGCTTTGTGGTTCTGAAAATTCTTTTATTACCTCCATAGGTAGGATCCCTCTATTTATTATACTTTTTGTGCATCCCGAGTCTACTAGAGCTAGAGTTTCTATCTCATAGTCCTGAATCCTTATTCTAGTTAGTATTTTTATGGTATTAATTTTCTTGTCTTCATTACAAATCAGTCCTTCGAATGACTTGTAATCTTCTTTTTCATTAAAAAGTTCTATCTCTAATTCTGGCGTTATAATTTGGCTGGTTTTTTCTACTTCTTTTTGGTTGGTTTCTTCTATTTTTCTTTTTCCTTTTTTCTAATCTACTTATTCTTTCCTCTAAACTATCAATTCGTTCTTCTAAAGATTTTAATGTTTGTTCTTTAGTGCTTAATGTCGCGTCTATTATCTTAATATTAAATATTTTGTCAATGCACCTAATGCAACCTTCTATATAACAATTCATGCATTTGACTCTTCTGTCTTTACTTGGGTATCCTGTGCAATTAAAGCATCTTTGGCTATCTAATCCTTTTCCTTTACAGAATTGGTGATCACATTGTATATTGACAAATTAATAGACTTCTAAACAATATACATTGCATCTAATTGTAGAAAGTTGTTTCATATTCCCACATTTATTAAAAGGTTCAATTTCTTAGTTATTACCTATAATTAGTTCAATTAACATATTTAATTCCTCTCATTTTTCATGGAATTAATATCATGCTTTTTCATATACTTTATAGGATTCTATAAATTTGGACAGAAAAATGTGTACTATTCAATCACATAGTCAAATTAAATGATCTATCAAACTCAAAGTAAAAATCATCTTATTATTCTGTATTCACGACTTATGCAACTTCTACAAGCTTTTCATCGTCATGCATTCATCACACATTTCCTACTTTTGGGTTTCAGTTACAAAACAATATTGAGTTTTGGGTTTAAGAATTATATTGCTTCATCGTGGGAATGTTGGAGGCAAAACACATTATGGTCCTTCTTTCGATTTTGATAATGCCTTTATTTGAGTATGAGGAACATGCCGAACATAATTACATAATTTATGTTTAAATATTCTTAATTATTTTTCGATTTGTATGATGAAACTTCTTTCAAGGTGGGTTGTATCATTATTTGTGTCTTTTTTTTTTATTATTTGTTATCTAGCTCAAAAGATCCTTCTTTTTGAGTGTATATATATTTGCACTTTATTTACTGGTTTTATATTTTATGATAAGTTTTTTGGGTTGCATTTATTCTCGTGTTTTGATAGATTTTTGGTGATGATCTCTTATATAAAGTGAATAGAAAATATTAGTCCACTTCACTTTTGTGTTTCATCATCTTATAATTCTTACTCCCTTTGTCCCAATTTATGTGACTTATTTTCCTTTTTAGCAAGTCCCAAAAAAAATGACACATTTCTATATTAAGTAACAATTTAACTATAAAATGTCTATTTTACCCTTAATGAAATGATTTACAACTGCACAAATTTATATAATTCATTTTGGACCACAAGTTTTAAAAATCTTCATTTCTTTCTTTAACTTCGTGCCAAGTCAAACTATCTCACATAAAATGGGACGGAGAGAGTATAAATTTATGTAAAATCAATTTATTGTTCAATTTTTCCCTCATTAACATGATAAATATATATTTATTCTTTGTTTTTATTACTTTTGTTAGATATGTTTACGTCCATTTCTTAAATTTAGAGCAAGAGTTCATCACTATATCACATACTATATGCTATATTATCTTAATTAGTTTTATATTTTTCAACATTTTTTATTTTGCAGACAAATAACCAAAATTAAATGAAAAGAATTAATTAACACTGTTATATTTGCACATAACAACATATACAAAAGAATAATGTAATTGATAATTATCAACGTTAAACCTATACAAATTTATGTTACAGTAAAAAATAAACGTGCAATGCACATTTCCAAAACTAGTTAATAATAAAACTACATGTTATAAGAGGTAGCCATAATACAAATTTGATAAATTTATTTCCTTACTTGGGATTACAATGCAACAACCACAAGATATCCTTTATTGCAGAGAGGGATCAACGAATTTTACAAAAAGAAAAAAAGAAGTTAAGAAAAAAATTCACTGCGTATAACCAAGTGGACTAAAGTAAAATAACATGTTTATGTGTTATGCCTTAATTACAAATTTCAGCGCGGATAACCAGGTGGAGGGTATCCAACACCACTTGGAGCATAATTGGGTGGAGGATAGCCATGATGTTGCAATGGGGGTGGAGGGTACATGGGGGGTTGTTGTTGTGGTGGTGGGTATCCATAGGGTTGCTGGGGTGGGGGTGGGGGTGGGTATGATTGAGGTGCATATGCAATGGTTGGAGGAAGAGGCTGATCCAAACGAGACATCTGTTGAACAGGTGGTGCTGCTGTTGGCCTTGCACCAAACTTTCCATCTCTTTTGTCCATTTCAACCTTGTGTTGTGTCTGCAAAATTATTTGGAAACACCACAATATTTTAGAACATAATACATAACCAAAACTTTGAGAATTCACGTTTAGACATCTTAATTCGTTTTTATTGTGTCAGTTGAACACTCTAACTTACAAAATGATCATCTAGACACTTTCAAAATTTATGTGTCACATCAGTATCAGGTGTTCGTGAAACACAATAGGGACGAGTTGGAGTGTTTAATTGTCAGTTGAGACCAAGTTGATGTCATTCTAGATGTGAACTTTCAAACTTTGCGTGTTTACTTGCTAGCTGAGGCATTATTACTTCCTCTATCCCAATTTATGTAGTAGTGTTTGAAATGATACAAAGTTTTTTAAGAAAAAAAATCTTTTTTGAAACTTATGATTTAAGGGCATCTTAGATTTTTTTTTTTTGGGGCATAGATGTTTATTAAGGTAAATCTCTATGCTATATATTGCAGATGCCTAATATGTTCAAGTTATCACATACCTGCATACAGCTGCAAACCCTGCAAAAAGAAAAAGAGAAGTTAATAGAGATGGGGGGTTTAATAAAAACATCTTATTTACGTTGTTGTCAGTATATATAAGTTAAATCGTAGTTTTCAATACTAGCCAAGCATCTTACGTGCAATAAACCATATCCGAGCAACAATTCAGAACCCGAGAAGCCTCTTGAAGTTCGTCATTTCCTGTAATACAAGCAATGCAGCTAAATATACATGCTACCTGCTGGAGGCAAAACATGAATCCCTACAACCAAAGACAAAACACATTATAAAAAGATAACAATGAAAATGAAAATGAAAATGTGTAGGAGTTGAACTTACAATTATGCAATTATCGCATTTTGTTGTCTGAAGATTGAACTCGTCTTGCAACATAAAACGTGTTGAGGCAACTGAATTAGCAAAGCAAAGAAAAACCTGAAGAGTAGCGCGAAATTGAGTAAAATAAATAAGAGGGCTAAAGAAAAAGCTCATAATTTCTGCACTATATGAAAATCTTGAATACGTATAATTTAGGGAAACACCAAACCTCTGTACAAAGACACAACTCGGGGCAATGACTTTCTCCACATCTGCCACTACAAGGCATATAGCCTCCACAACATGTATACCTAAAAGCACAAAATGTCTTTAAATTATATCAACTCGTCAACAAATAAGCTAGTTGTATAGCTAAACAGAGAAAAAGAATGTTTACCTTGACATATCATTGTATAGAGCTCGTTTTCTGAGAATGTACGATGCACAAGGACCACTAAATCAAATCGAAGGTAAACTGATAAGAAATTTTGAATAGTGGCACTTGAATCAGAGAAGCATTCAAATTACTAGTCTTTACATCGTGCAGCATTATATAGTGTTACGAGATAAACTTCCAATGATAGTGAAGAGTTCTAGACACAACAAGTGTTGTGAACCACTTGCATTTTAAAATTGCTGCATATGGAGTAACATAATACAGCAGATCAGGAGACGTAAACTACATCAAAAAATGAACAACAATAGAACAATTCGCAATCCATTTCACCATATTCTCCCTCTCAATAATTACAAGACTATCCTGTCTTTTCAGCTTCAGAGTTATTAAATCAAAAGTTTAAGTACGTAAACTAAATTATTCCATGAAATCGTTTTAAAGAGAAATACAAAATTGAGTAGTGGTAAACTATACTGATAGTGTCAAAATACAAAAAATCTTTTTGTAACAAAATTACCAGTTCAAATTAAGTGCCTGTTTGACCACTTTTGAAAAACTGTTTGAATATAGAATTGATTACAAAGTCACAACTTTCACTCGAAATCAATCACAAAAATTCAAAAAACTACTCCAGTTGATATTCATATCTAAATACAACTTCAGCTCCAATTATCATTTTCCACTTTGTAAACAAACACTACTAACTTTATCAAATTTCACAATTTTCATGCTTGTCAAACGATGAAGCAACTGATGCAGACTTTCGAGGAGTATGGGCTAAAGCATAACATAAAAGAGGAGAATGCACATAAATCAACTCACCACCAAAGCGAAAAACAGCAAACTGCAAATGCCAAAAATGCAGATCAGCATTTCCATAAAAAAAACAAATTGAGTAAAAAATTAATGAAATTTTACAGTTAAAATGAGACGTACAAAGAGGATCGGACTGCGGAGCACGGAGGAGATCGGTATGCCAGTGATTAGGATAGTTTTGACGGAACTTCATTTTCTCCATTTCAGCATCCAATGAAGCCATTGGAACAACAGCTGAGTAACTGTCGTTGGGGCAGAGACCTAAAAATCTCTTTTTTTTTAAAAAAATAATAAAAAGATATAATTAAACAAGATCGAGCCTGTTTTCAAAGTTTTGAATAAAAAAAATATAATTTCTGAAGATCGAACGCCTTCCGTGTCTGCGCGGTTGACTTTTCAAACTTGAAGAGGAATATGGGAAGGAAGAATGATGTTTCTAGAAGTAGAAAAATGAGTAGAAAACACACAAAGTTTACCAAAGTAATGAGAGGACGGAGTTAGTAAAGTTTTAGTGTCGGATTCAGGATTTTCACTCATAAACTAGGGATATCATTTGTAGCTATCATTGGATTATCTCTCTTCTTTGATTGAGATGGTTCAAAATTAATATATATACAAAAATATTGAAAATCTACTCTATATATTCCGTGTAATTTTTAATCGATAGGGTTCAGAAGTTACTCTTGAAATTTGAGGTGATTTCATGAAGATTTGAAGAAGTTGGAAATTTGGGAGCTCGTGATGTTTTTCATGTGTTCTTGAGGAAGAAAAAACAAAAAGAGTACATTTGATCCATAATCCCAATTGAAAATGTTAAACGCTGTTTGGGTTTTTGTCGAAGTAAAAAAAATGATTTTGCAGAGTTAAAAAATAATGACATGAACGACTTTTTAAAAAAAAAAGGTAATGACATAAATAAGTCAAACTTTTAACAGATAATATAAATGAGTTTTTTCTCAAAGTTAGATGACATATGTAAGCCTTTTCCCTATATTAAATTCACTTAATAAAATTCTGACTCCGCCTCTAATAACAAATTAAAATAATTTTTTTATTTTCTACCGCTAAATTAGTGAGCTATATGCCCTACATATATTGTCTTGATGTATTATGAGTTATTAACATTAAGACAATTGTTCTGTAATTTCTATAAACCTTTTTTATTAATTTGTACTTGATTTAATTTTGAAATGTATACCGGAGAAATATTGTGTGATATATATGATACTTTTTCATCAGATCTTATTTTTCAAAGTTCATCCAAACTCTATTTAAAGTACACTTTGGATGAGATTGAAATTCATTCTATCTCCCATATTTAAAGAACTTTGTTTAATCTCCCATCATACTCATTTGTTGATATTTTGTCGCATTTTTTTAAAAAAAATATCGAATGATGAAACTGTTAACTTTATATTATTTGAGATGATGAGATTAATTGTAATAGTAATATTTTTATTATAGTTGTCCACCACAATTTAATGTTAGTTTTCTTGAGCATCTTTTATTGATATCACGTGTCCATCCTGTATACCGTCACGTTTCCAAACTACTTATTCTCAATAGGAAAAAGGGTCAAATATGCCCTTAAACTATTCGAAAAGGACTAGATATACTTCCGTTTAAAGTTTGGCTCACTCTTGCCTTCGCCGTCCAACTTTTCGTTTACATATGCCCTTATGGGTGTTAAATGTCAAATGGAATTGCTACGTCATTTTTACATTATCACGTGGCATTTATATTAAAGGAAAAATGGTCAAATATACCCCTAAACTATTCGAAAAGGTCCTAGATATACCCCCTTTTAAATAAGCTACCCAACCCGTTTTCAACAAAAAAAATTCGGTAAATTCCGAAAATGAGTAATTGACTAATAAAAAATAGGAAAAATATGAAAAAAATAATAAAATTAATGCCAAAAATTCGCAAATAAATATAGTAACCTTAAATTCAACAATTTCAACAATTTTTTTAATTTTTTTTCAATAAATCACGAAAATGAGTAATTGATTAATAAAAATTATGAAAATGAATTTATGCTGAATTTTTAGGTTATATTTTTCATATTTTTTATTAATCAATTACTCATTTTCGGGATTTATCGAAAAAATAAAAATTTTAAAAAATTATTGAAATTGTTGAATTTAATGTTACTATATTTATTTGTGAATTTTTGGCGTTAATTTTATATATTTTTTCATATTTTTTATTAGTCAATTACTCATTTTCGGGATTTACCGATTTTTTTTGTTGAAAACGGGTTGGGTAGTTTATTTAAAAGGGGGTATGTCTAGACCTTTTCGAATAGTTTAGGGGTATATTTGATCATTTTCCCTTTAATATAAATGTCACGTGGTAATGTAAAAATGACATGACAATTCCATTTGACATTTAACGTCCATAAGGGCATATCTAGACGAAAAGTTGGACGGCAAGGACATGAGTGAGCCAAATTTTAAATGAGGGATATATTTAGTCCTTTTCAAATAATTTAGGGACATATTTAACCCTTTTCCTTTCCCAATAATTTGCTTGGAATTTGTTCATATTTCTTCTTGTACCCATTGCCCCCATATTCCTTTGGCAAATGTATCTATTAGGAGTTAGGGTCTCTTCTGGTTAGTGGGTCATGTTAAAATTATTTAAATTATCAGCAGATTTAAAATGGGTGAAAAAATAATTTATATAGATGTCACATAGGAAAAATGGGATATTCCTTCAAGTGAAAAGCAAAAATAGGGAAAATTAGTAAATTAATCAAAATTCCTAACATAATTATTAAAAATATCTATAATTTAAAATAATTAATAAAAATGTCAATATGTCAATATTTATGTAAATAAAATGTATTCTAATATAATTAATTTTCTTTCCTTTTATTTCTCAAATCAGGCCCACATTTGAGTCTATTTTGACTCCACTATCACGCTGAAAAAAAGTAAAAAAGGACTTCATTATAAACTTTCATCTCTCTCTAGGTTTTTTTACTCCAAATCTCTCTTTTCTCTCTCTCTCACGTGTTCTTCACCATTTTCTCTCCTTTCCTTGTTTAACAAATTTATCTTTTTGAAATTCCTCCACTTTTTTTTTTCAAGAAATCTCATTATTCAATAAAAAGAGTTTTCACCCACTGATAAAGGTAAATACATTGTCTCCAAGTTTTTTTTTTTTTTTTGAAATTTCCCTCTATTATGCATTTCTGATTTTTCGTGTTTTTAACACCAATTTTAGATTTGTTGTGATTTGTTTTCATATTCGAGATATAGTAGTAATCTACATTAACATATTATATATTGTTCGATTTTAGGGATTTTATATATGTTCATATATAATAATTTTAAAATTTGACTTATTGGGCTTTAGGTTTGGGGAAAATATCTGATTGTCACTATAATGTCTGATTCAATGAGAATTACAAGAGGTATCCCAAATAACATTCAAATTTTTATGGATTTTCCTTCGTTTGATTTTTGTATTACCTGAGGATTGCTAAAAAATGTAGGTTGTGTTGCTAAAATGGCGCAATAGAGCAGTCCAAAAAAAAAAGAGAAGAGTTATGGGTGCTGAAGATGCTGATGAACAAGTTGAAGTTCAAATGGCTGAAGAGAGCAAATCTAAGCATCTACATGACCCTATCCGCATGCGAAATCTTCCCCAAGTTCGAAATATGAACATCACCAACAAAAGAAAAATTATAGGTACTTCATCTACCAGCAACGAAGTCGAAAAACTTGATGAAGATCAAATTGAGGAAGAACAACTTCTTGAACATCAAACTTGTATTTGTATTCATTCTAGTTTTCATGTTGTATTTTATATAATGAAACTTGTATTTCTTTATCAGTTTGTATTCACTCCAATATGTATACCAAATTGATCTATAGTTCTTTAAGAACCATATTTGTATCCATTTATTTCTTTCACATTACAATTGTATTTTTTTTTCTCCAAAATCTTGTATCCTTTCTTAAATTGTATTCATTCCAATATGCATGATATACATATTTGTATTCAATATGATTTTCATGTTGGGGTTTGTATTATGACATTTGTTTTTCTTTATTAGTTTGTATTCATTCCAATAGGTATGCCAAATGGACTTGTAGGTATTTAAGAAGCATATTCATATTCATATACTAATGTAAACTTGTGTTCATTCAGAAATGATTCAATATTGGTTTGTATACTTTTCAAAAACGTATATTATTTCTTAAAAAGCCAGGGGCTGATTGGACGTAATGGGTTGCTACATCTCATGCGATTGGAAGAGCACGAGAAGGACAAGCTACTGACTTTATACTTCCTGTTCTATTGGAAGAGAGATGTGATTCCTTCGGGACAGACTCCATTCCGAATGCCAATAAGACCACTTCCTCAATCCTGAGCATCATTTAACTCAAGAACCCTATTTAGGGAGTGCAATAGAGAACCTGAGATCCGATGCGAACAATCAGTCGAAGGAGCGGAGCTTAGAGCCTTTACTTTATGTAAAGCGCACTCACTCTAACGGCGTTATTCCAACAAAATTTATATTTCAGTCATCAAAACATACAAATTTACAATCATGGTAACAATCAAAATTTGTATTTCAAGAAAAAGTGTATTTCATGACAAAAAATGTATTTCTTATATGTTATGTACTCCATAAATATATTCACTTCATCAGAGATTGAGTATTATCAATGAAAACTTGAACATCGATATTGGAAGTTTGATCAACAAGGGGGACGATGCTCTGTAGTTTATTTTTGAATTGTAACTGATGAGAATTTTAAGTGATATGTTCCTTTTTAAAAATATTCTCTCTCCTAAATTGTCATTTTTATTATTAAACTAGATTTTGTTTTCCGTGCTATGCACGGGCCCAATAACATAAATGGTATGTTTTGGGGCTAATAACGAAGTTTTTAAAGCGATTGTTTGCGTGGATAAAGGAATAAGTTTTTTTTATCACAAACCTGTACTTTCTTTGACGCTATTGAAGGCAGAATAAGACTACCCACATACAACATTTTTGAACAATTTTATGTTGTCAATTATCACGATTTAATTTTAAGAATCAGTCAATTTTTTTTTATGTTTTTTTAATAAATATTTTAAGTTGTCAATTATCACGATTAATTGTATTTTATACATAATTTTTAACGATAGATTAATTTCAAGAATCAATCGAATTTTTTTAAATGTATTTATTTTTGAAATATTTTTTGTTGTCAATTATCATGATTTATAGTATTTTTACGATAGATTAACTTAAAGAATCA